CAACAGAGGTGAAATGATTCTTAAATAACCAGTTCACACAATTCAAAGGAGACTTTCTGCTGCCTCACATCTGATATCACATGCTACAACATCCAACGCAGTGTTACTGTGTGTTTTATCTTCACTAAAAACACACTTCACTTCAGAATCCACTGCAGTACAACATGCAGAGACTGACTGCAGCCACAGGACACCTGCCAAGGCATTCTGCAAGCTTTTCATGGAAAAGGGTACAACTTTCTGCATTCAGAGCAACTTTGTTCTTCACAGAGCTGAGTCACAACAGGTTCTCACTAGAGCATCACCCTGTTGCTCAGAAGTCCTTACCAGTGTTCAGGTCGACCCCGGTGAGCTGCCCTGATTCCACATGCTCTGCCTGAACCTTCACTAGTGTCTCCTGGGGATCGTAACCGGAGTTCTGAGCGAGAACCTTGGACAGAGCACAGATATAACAACATGACATAAATTTAAGAGCCTTCCAGCAGAAAAAAGTGATGCTTTAAAGCCACTTTATTTATACCTTAGGAATGATGAGCAGAGCATCAGCAAAAGCCTGAACTCCCAGCTGGGCTCTTCCTTTCACATTGGGTTTATGCTTAACAAGAGCATTAGCTACTGCCACCTCCAGCGCTCCTGCTCCTGGAACCACACACCCTGCAAGGAAAAGCTGGAGTCAGACCACAGCAAGCACCTAGTCCAATTTAAACAATCCATTTTTTAGCAGTTTCATCTCTTCCTTCATTCCTAAAAAGACATCTTACACCTGAACAGGTGAGCACTGACACTGAAATACACTTAACTCAGGCTCTGACTGCAGCAGGTATTAAGGAAGCAAATACAAAACTCCCTAATTTTGAGATGAGCTTCCACAGAAGATCCTCAGCATCACTAAGAGCAGAGACTCACCATCCTCAATGGCATTTTTCACAGCACGGAGCCCATCCCTCACTGCATCCTTGATCTGTGTGAGTGTGTGCTTGTTGGGGCCACGGATCAGCAGGGTGACGGAGCGTGGGTTCTCGCACTTCTCGATGAAGGTGTACTTCTCTTCACCCTGCAACAACAGGGCTATGTATTCCTGGCAGGCACTTGCTTAATCAATGTATACATGGAGTAAAAAACACCTGGACACTCTCAGGTTCAATTCTGCACCAGCAGTGCTTCAACAAGTGATGAGAAGCAGCAGCACTTGATTTCCATTTTCTCAGTGTTACAGATCTTGAAAGCACAATGCAGAAATAATACAAAAATACTCTCTGACAAGAGCAGATATCCAGGTAGAGGTTCACATCCAAGTGGGCACAGGGATGTGACATGTCACTAGCCTTTAATTCAACACTCCAGCACAGCTCTTCAAAGAGCTGGTGGTACTCACCAGTGTGTACTCATAGACAAGCCCTGCATGTCCCAGGCAGTCCGGAGTAAGATCCTCCACAGAGTTCATGGCAGTGCCACCACACGCCAGGGTCAGCCTGGCAAAGAACGTGTACAGTTCAGCACTTCTTTATATGCAGTAAAATCCAAAGTCACTAACATAAGGGCAGTATTTCAGCATGCAGAACACACCCAGTTCCCAGGCCTGGAACAGTCTGCTTCTGTTCCAATAGCTCTTCACAAAACTAAGCTTGGAGAATCGTCTCCTGTGCAGGTGTCTGTGTTTGAAGGATACTGAAAGCTCAAATCCCTCCACCACCAGTGCTGAACTGACCTTTCTACAGCTTGTACCAACTACCCTGAGTTACACCACGAAGAGCTGGACAGATTGAACTTTTTAGTGCAAGTCCTTAAAGGTGGTTTCAAGCCTGACTTGAGCCAGGCTATCAAGCACTATCCTGTTTGGAGAAGCAAGTTATTTTCCTTCTCCTCTCCGCAGGAACTGACCTTTCCATGTTTCTCCTTTTAGCTCTCCGCAAAGCAACTATTCCTTCTTTTGCAAGTGCATCCAAAGAAAATGGATCAATTCCCTGGAAATGAAGAAAGTGACCATCAGGACAAAGAAAAAACTAAAAACATCCTCTCTCAGTCTGGCACTAACAACCAAGTTCTTTCTCGAGGCTCAAAGATCTCAAGGAGGAACTGTACACATGTATTCAGCAGTACCAGCTGTTTCTGTCTCAAGATCTGTACCAAGTGAGTCTCACAGACACCAACTGCCAAGGAAAGCAGCATTTCCAATGGATTTTTTGTTACACCCTTCATCTCACCTTCTGGTTGATCAAAACAAATCCTTTGTCTGAATCGCCACAGACTCTTCTTTTCAAGTCTATGATTTTATTCACTCTGTCTTCAATGAACTTTCTTTCTGCTTTCACCAACTTCTCCCTCTCTTCAGCACTTTTGTAGAAGAATCCAGAGCTCACCTCTCTGAAAGAGGGGGAAAAAAAAACCAAACCCAAATCAGTAAGAAAACTATCTGCTGGAGAAATAAACATCAGAAATGATCCTTTCAGCAACATCCTAAAGAAATCAAAGCAAAACAAACAAGGCATCCTTCCAATCCTGTTCCTGTCTAGTTGAGAGCTTTTCCACTCCAAGGAATCAGGCACACAACCTGAGAGAACTTTGAAGTGTATTTAGATGTTTGCTCTAGAATATCAAATTATGTCCAAGAAAGGACTTTCAGCTTTTCTTCAATGAAACAACAAAATAAAACCCACTAATCTCTGCCTCTCAAACATTTTGTCAGCCAACAGCTTCCCTCTTCCCAAACAGGCTACAGAAGAAGCATCACCTCTTCCCTTCCACACCATGTGCCTTTCCCTAGCAGAGCCTGTGCCATCCTTTGGGTTGATATTTAAACAGAACTTAATTAAAGTCTTTCAGCCAGGAGTGTTTCCTGCTCCTCCTCTCCCTGCTGCATACTCACGTTTTCTCATACTCCAGAGACACATTGCAGGTAAGAACATAAGCATCTTCCACTCTCTTCTTCATGTCAGGATGGCGAGCGCCGTGGTCCAGAACCAGCCCCCGGATCAGCCTGGGGGATCAAAAAGCATTTGGTGTGTCAATGATGCCTACAAAGACAGGAATTCTGTGGAAGGGCAGAATTGACAGTGGAACTGGTCCAACACCAACTGCCTGTGCATTTGTGTTGTGAGTGAACAAGGGTTATGTATTCCTCTTCCAAGGGCATGCCTATTCCAAATAAGCAGCACACTAAGCAGAGTGAAAAAGGAATTTGCTCTGGCATGGTGTCTGACTGCACTAGCTATGGAGGAAAGCTAGTGCAGAATTCATCCATGCCACTGAGGAACAGATAAAGCCCATGGAATATCCAACTGTAATCCCGTTTCCATTTATCAAATGCTATTTGGTATTTAACAGATAGAAACTCATCAAGCCACAGACACTAGTACTGAGGAAAAAGTCTCTATGCAGCACTGTTAGGTAAGACCCTAAGCCAGGGCTACTCTTTGCTATTCAAAATTCAAGTTCAGTGACTGAGAAACTTCTGCTGCTGAGACATTTATGGCTCAAATCTGTACTTCTGCCTTTCTTCCAGCCCTTCTCCAATACCTTCTCCAGTGGAATCTTTAGAAGACCCAAGTTCTTCTAAAAAGAAACCAACCCCCCCTGACTCCTCACACATCAGGGCACCACGAAACTGAAGCTCAGGATACCCCTGACTCACGTTGTGTCAGTTTCAGATTTGTGCTTCATCTCCATGATTTCCACCATGTAGAGGTCAATAGGCTCATCTGGTTTTCTGACTGTCAGAATGGAATCTACTACAGCCTGGAACAGAGGGAAGGGGGAAAAGCCCCCAAATGACCATTAGTCTTTCAAAGTACAAGTTCACACCTTTCCATCCACACTTAAGTAATAATCTCAGCACTCTAAAACCTCTTCATAGGAAGAGGCAGAGGAGACATGGACACTGACCTCTGTTAGGATGTCAGCAAGCTCTGCATGCACTTTAGTACGGAGAGATGTCCTAGCAACATCTATGAGGGTCTCCCTGTCCATCTCCTTGGTTACTTTGACCTGCTCCAAAACTTCAAGTGCTTTATCCTTTGCAATCTCAAATCCTTCTGCTACTATTCTAGGGTGCAAGCCCTAAAGCAAGGAAAGAGAAATCATTAGGTAACAGAAGACAAAACGTTACTGTTTCACAAATAGAACCTGTGGTTTCAACACTCCATGTAATGTCAAAATACAAGGAATATGCAGCCTACAAAGACAGTGTTCTGTCCTTCTGAATACATATAAAAGGAATGCAAATCCTTCCAATGCAGAGGAAAAGTACAGATTGTTCTAGCACAGAATTGAAACCAAGGGAACTACAAAGCACACTTGGGTGTTCACTGTGCAATATGAATTGTCTGCCCCTAAAATACCCAAAATCCCTGTCCTCAGGGAGGATCTCCTTTGAACACACAGAAGTGTTTTAACTCACACCAAACAAAGTAACACTAGGTATCAGACACAACCTTATTACAAATTACAGTATCTACAACAGGGGTTGATTTTGAATGTCTTAAATCCTCATCTCCAGCCTTTCCTCTTTTTCACAACTCCTGTGATGCATCCTTTGAAGCAGAAATACTCTATTTCACTTGTATTCAACATAACAAGCTGGAGAGTCTCAGTGAAGCTTTCAACTTGCCCAGCCACAACAGAAACATACCCACCTCAGAAATGTAGAGGTCTGCCTGCTTCAGGAGCTCTCCAATGATCAGGACATTGGAGGTGGTGCCATCTCCAGTGATGTCATCTTGTGCTGTTGCCACTTTTGCTATCAAGGAGGCTGTGGGGTGTTGTATTTGCTAGACAAAAAGAAGATGCTGAGGAGTAAGTGTCACTGCACTGGTAGAGGAAGCAACAATCTGAGATCAGCTGAAGTATTTAAGGACTAGGTGATGTTTCAATGATTTATGTCAATTCAACAAGTTTCAACGTGTCACGATTACTCTGACAACAAGTTGATTCAATTAATCCATGCAACACTATTTCCCCTCTCAGATTATGAATCCATACACAAAAACTCTGAGTGCTCAGAGCCAAACTAGCCCTCAGCTCACGATGAGATGGAGAGATGAGGGAAGCACCATCACATCTAGGCTGCTGCTGGCACTAAATTGAGCATGTTCAGAGTTGATTTAGGACTCTGTGCATCATCAGTGCTGTACACACCCTAACGGGTTTGCTGCTCCTTTGGCTGTTAATCATTCTCATGAAACTAAAGAACATCCAGTTAGTTTGTGCCTTGCCAGTTCCTCTGCTGAGCAGCACATTTGGTGTTCCAGCTGTATCATGTCTGTCTGACCAAACTCCACAACCACCACATGGCTTAAGGCTACTTAGAGAAGTCACTCTTTTGATGTAAGGAACACACACCTCACTTGGCATCTCCAATGGCTAACTGAGGAGTGTTTAACACAAGCTGAAGCCTATGATCCTACAGCAGCATCTAAATTTGACATGGTTAGTGCTTAGTGACCGAATTACAGTGAGAAACAAATCCAATGGGACATACATGGTACCGTTTCACTTTTTATAATGATTTTCTTTACACTACTACCTCTGGCATCAAAGAGCCCATTTAAGCTGCAGTTATTTATTTACCACCCTCCCAAGGGCCATTTGGCTCTCAGTGGCAGGGGCAGACACACAGCACACTGAGGGCAGTGGGGCTGCTGTGCCCCTCGGCCACAGGCGCCCCCAGGCCCCTGCCCGCCCGAGGCTCAGCCCAGCTCACCATCTCCTGCAGCAGCACGTTGCCATCTTTGGT